AGTTTTGAAAATTAGAGCTGCCTTCATGTGGCACGAACAAAGTCCAGGGGGAAGAGTTGGCCAGAGCAGCTCGGGTCAAGAAGGGCAGGGTGAGCATCATGCAAGTATCCAGATTTCCAGTTCTGCAGTTCAGCTACCAGAAGAGACTGGCTTAACGCTCTTGTCCTGAAGATTTCAGCTCACAGTGATAAGGTCAGAAAGCATCACAGCTGGACACAAAAGGCAAAGGGAACACAAGGGTTACGGCCATAAGAAAATCAATTGTTTTGGAGAATTAGTGAAAGAATCCAGAGAATATTTTTTTCTGTTTTTTCGTTTGAAGAGTTTTGTCACTTAATGACAAAAGTAGAAATGCCTCTTACATGGAAATTAGAGACCAAACAGATCACACAGAGAATAGGACTTCAGTGATAGGGAGGTACTTAAAAAAAAACCAAAATAAAACAAAGCAAAAAACACACAGAGGAAAAATAAAAGGATAAAAAAGTGCTGTTGCATAGGCTGAGCAGGAAGAAAGAAAAGAATGGCCAAGGCTGTGTACGTGGAGCAGACTGAATGACATACAGCTTCCCTCTTTGGGCTAACATCTTCAGTTGCAAAGAAAGAAAAAGGAAACATCACCCCATTTTCACGATTAAGTGAGAACCAAAGCCTCAGCAGACACTTGGTGTCTCCTCCAGAAAGGATGAGCCCTACATCACTGGCTCCATGCAGCCCCGCTGCCTTCCTTTCTCACTGCCCTAGCACAGCAAAGGGGGCTTGCTCCTTCTTCACGTCCTCATGACCCAGCTCATCAGTGCAGCAGGAAAATAAAGCACATTTCCCTTCCCTGCAAACCAGATAACCACAGGGCCTTCTTGGAAGTTTTTATTTCTCAAACATCATTTACTGTAAGGGGGAAAAAAGGACAGATGTTATCAAGACCTCGTAACCTGGCTGCTCACAGTGCCTCCGATGTGGCAGACATTTTCAAGATGTGCACTGTATGCTTTGATGTCTAAGGCATCTATGTGTGGGACCTAAAAAAATTGCCATTGCTGGAAAAGGGCAACATTTCCCACATACATTTGGCTCAGTCACAGAGACACCAGACATTTCATGTTCCTGGTAATGTTGCTTGCCATAAAGGCCAAGGAAAAATAAAGAGCATGTGGTGTATGAGTAGAACAGTGTCTGACCCGAACAGTTTTCAAACAATTTCCATGGAACATGCTCTGCACAACTGGCCAAGTCAACGGTCTGTAGCTCCAAAAGGTAAATTTAGCTCCTCTCCTAAATCCATTCTGGAGCAATGCCACCTGAAAGGTCAGTTTGCTGTATGTTTCAGTGTCGCATGATGTAATTTAAGGAAATGACAGCTACAAAAACTGTTAGGCTCAGTGGGACCTTTCCAGTAAAAAAGAAGAAAGGAACAAATAAACTAGGGTTCTGATACTTGGGAGAAGAGGGGGAGTGAGAGATTCCAGGGACAGAAGCACCAAGGGAGTGGAAATTGTATGATGGTATGTTACCGCGTCAGTCACTTAAACCAACTTTATGGTTGGTGGCAAGAATAGGTAGCTTGGGGACCGGGTTCGTCACATCCTAAAGATGTCTAAAACAGGTCAGATGAATTCTGCCCTAAAAGTATTTATTTTTCTCTGCAGTTATCAAGAGAGTCTAATGTAACTACATCAGAGGTAGTTACCAATCAGGTGTAGAACAAAAGTGCATGACATGTTCAGAGGTCCGATGGATCCCAACCAGAATTTCTGCTCCAGATTGACATCGTTTTATTGTTTAATTGCTTTCTTCTTGCTGTCACCAGCAACAAATTCACTGGCATGCAGCAAGACTAGCAAAACACGGAGAGAAGCTCAACCTTAGCAAGGGAGGTTAAACCCATTGCTAAAGAGGTGAAGGGCATGGGAAGATCAAAGAGGAACCATAATCTTGCCTGTGCAAGTAGCATTTTGAACATAATCATAGAAAACAGGACTGGAAAGGACCTTGACAGGTCATCTGGTCCAGCCCTTGCTCTGAGATCCATCAGACTTTGTAGACCTGAACTGTTCTTGTCAAATATATGTTCAACTTGTACTTAAAAAGCCTCCAGGGACAGAGGTGCCATTCACTTGTGCTTTACACTTACAGACACTTGTTTTCTCATTTAGCCTAAATTTCTCTTACTGTGACTTACACACTGTTCTCAGAGGATGTGGATAAGAGATTATCTTCTTTTCAGCAGCTTTTACATAGCTGAAGGCTGTTATCGCGTCTTCCTTGTATCTTCTCATCCTTAGGCTTGTTTTTTCAGTCTTTCTGTATACACGATGCTTGCTAAACCCATGGTCATTCGCATGTCAAAATTATTAGTGGCAATGCTGAAATTAATCTAGAATGGACAGATCTTGCCTCTCTTAGATATCTCTGCATCATCCTATACATTTATTTATTTAGCCTGATGAGTACCCTGTGAGTTGCTGGGAAGTAAAATAAGCCCCATTTTACCCAAGAGGTCATAAGGCAGAGAGGATTTGTGGCTCTCCGCTCTGTGTGTGTATCCTCTACCACTCTGGAGCAAGATCCAAGCACATCCAAGCTCATCCTCTAATGAGGCAGAAACCCAAGCGCACGTGCTACAGGGGAGCCCCGGTGTGCTTTTCCCAGGCATTCGGTCATGACAAGGCAGGACAGCGCAGCTTCTCTACAGTACAGATAGATACAACCACAGACTAGGGTCAGGATTTCAAAAGCCGTCCAGGCGTTATTGCTGTTCAAAATTGTAAGGGCTAATTCCATGGAACTTAAGAGTCAGGTACCTAATGATGCAGCCATGTGGCTGGTACTTAGAGACCTCCCTCCTCATCACTTCAGGCATCCTGATGATTTTAGAAATTCCAGTAGAATTGTCCCATTAGCCACATCTGGTCTGACCGGGGGAGTCTGTAGCTCTTCTCAGGCTCATTCATGTCACAACATAAATATTTTACAACTCTACTATCAATACCCTTCAAATAGGTGTTTAGAAACATATCTCCTAATGATTAATCTAGTGTTTGCATGAGTGAAACTGAAGCACTTAGTGCTTTTAGGCATGCCATTACTGGTAAGAAAGCAAGGCTTCATTCCAGGCTCTGGCTTTGCTCTCAGAGTTTGCAGCTATCGCTGGGAAATACAACAGGAGGGAAGGGGTGAAGGGAAATGTATAGTTTCTAGTTTTGTCTAGTTTCCACAAGTTTATTAAACTTGATAGAACAGCAGGAAATCGCACTGTATATGACAAAGAACCTGTTTAAAACCATCCTCAGAAAATGCAGCTTTTACGTTTTAGAGCCAGGGAACCGAGCACTTAGAGCCCACTGATTGATTCAGGAACATCAGTAAACACATTATTAAAATGAAGAAAAAGCTTTGTGAAATGTAAACTTCAGGTAGTTGGACACCATCCTGATCTACCACATGTAAATATTTTTATTTTCATTTCAGTAGAGTAGCCTGAAGATGATAAAACAAGCTTTCGGAACCCAGCAAACATTTGGAATTCTTAACTTCATACTTTTCCTTCGTAACAGTGAATGCGAAAGCGAAGAGAACTGTTCCAAAGGATCATTTATTTTATCCTCTTTCCTGTCACTTATCCTAAGTCTCTTCAGTTGAGTGGCTGCAAAAAATGTCAGGATGATTGTCTTGAATGGTCACAGTGTTTCACGTTTTTGTTTTACAGGGGAAACATTTATGTCAGTAGTCACACCACACTTAAAAAAAGCAGATTGACAAATTGACTTTTTGTTTCTTTGCTGGCTTGAGGGAACTTTTGGATGGGAGGTCCTGTTACTCTCGTGGAGCACGGTGACCGCACTAGAGCTGGATATTGCATGCGAACGGGTCACCCGGGATGCTTTAACCTCCACAGCCCCCCTTGCCCCAACCGGGGTACCGCTGCCATGCGTTCTACCTGCAGAAAATCAAATTGCCGACACGCCGGTGTTGGGGTCAACATGTTCCCTGCAAGAGGAACGAGTCCTCCCGCTAAAAGGGAGAACGGGGCTGTTTCCGTGAGCCGGGGAGGAGCGGGCGGGGCGGGGCAGGGGGAAATCTGTGTGTACGCCGGGGACACATAAATAAATTAAGCACAAAGCACACAGAGGGCTGAACGGGCGCCCCGGGCCGGAGCGGAGGCTGCGCAGCCCCTAGGCCCGGCC